TGACCTATCCCCTTCCTAACTCCCTACCTACACTCACCTTTCCTGGCCCCATCCCCGCCTCTTCGACCTGTTTGTTTCCTCTCCTCTATCCCTCTTCTATCCGCCTCCCACTCTCTCCCTATTTATAGCATAAATTTCATGTTTAATTTAATATAAATTGTTTCGCAAATTTAATGTAATTGGCAGCTGGGAATTCAGGAGAATTTATTTTCATTGAGAGATTTGTTGGGGAATTGAATGCACTACCTGAAATAGTTGTAAAGGCAGACATGACCCTCATCACATTTTAAAGTAAAACTCTGGTGAAACAATTGAAATGCTTTAACCTAAAAGGCTGACGACCAGGAGCAGGAATGTGTGAGTTTGCTGTACTGATTCAAATGCAAGGGCCTCATTCTGTGCAGTTAATACTTCCATGTTTCTAAGTACAAACATGAATATGAATAAAAGTTACGGCATTTATAGATGTTGAAAGAAGTTCTAACTTTTATTTAAAGATAACAAATGAAGTAAAAAGCTGGGCTGACATGTTGCTAATGTTAACTATGTGAGGGAATATCACTGAATTTGCATTTAACTATTGCTTAGCTAACTTAAAATAATGCTGGCACATTGTAATGTAACACAATAAGCAATTCTGCTGCAAACTTCATGCCAGAAATGTGTAAATGGGAATTTAAAACTTCATCCACAGAAATGAAGAATATGTGGAATATCTGATTAGAGGAAAGGAATGAAGCGGATTTTCATTAGGTATGAGATGCTAAGAAATCATTTTTGGAAGCTAGTATAGATGACTTAATAATGTAATGACTTGACCAGGAAACAAGAAACCTCAGTCAAAATGACTGAGCAAGCCAAGCATATTGCAGCTTCACAAGTGCCAGAAATATATCAAAGGGATGGGATCTGAACACTGGTAATGATTCAGTGAGGCAGGTGGTAGGTCAACCTCTTCTGAGCCAAAGACTGTTTGGCCTTAATTGTCTCAAAGGGATGATTTCAGAATTCAGTACAAGGAGCAAAAACCCAAGCCAGTGCTAATCCAAATACTGTTCAGGTGCAACCAGGTAGACTGTCTTCTGCTGCAAGGCAGGAAATGCTGGGAATTGTGTGGCAAAAGCAAACAAATGGTAAATGAAGTAGAACAGACACACAACTGACATACTTCCCATGCATCAGCCAATAGCCTTGCCCTCGTTTAAAATCCTCCTTTTGATCTTGCTTTCCCCTGGTTTTGTAACCTCTTCTCACAAAGCGAATCAGATTATACCCTTCATTCTTCTGGTTATTAATGTTCATTAATGGTTGAGTGTTCAATCAGTTTGAGGTGCACTTCTAAATTCTGTTCCTAAAGCCTTACTTTTTGCAACCTTCATGAGTTTCTTTGACCGAGCTTTTAATTACTTCACTTAAAATGTACCATTTAATTGACCGCAACAGTCAAGAAAGCACAACAATGTCTCTACTTCCTCAGGAGGCTAAG